AATCTGCTGAGGCTGTACTCCTCACTCAGGGCCCCAGGCAACTCCTATCTGCAAGAGTGGCTTTGGACAGCCAGGCCTTGGGGCAAGGAGGCATGGAATGGCATGTGTCTTGCATCAGATCCCTTCTTAGCTTGTGCTAGCTCTTTCCTTCCCTCCCAAGTTTCAATTCCCTGACATCCTGATGAGTTGGATGTTTACTTAGGGTTCCCACAGTGTCCTCTGCTTTCCCCATCCTGGGGCATTCAGAGCCATTGATAATCTATCTGCTTCCCATTAGACAAGCTTTGGGGAATTTCTGTGCCCCCAACATCTGGCCTGGACCTGGTCATGGGGAAGACACTTCTTAAATGATGGACTTATTGAAGTGGCTCTGACAGCCCAGTTGGTAAGCTGGTGAGGCTGCCTAGTTCAAGGTGCTAAGGATGAAGCTTAGGAGGCTGGAGGCCCCACTAATAGAGATGGGAGCCCAGCTAAGATGGAAGGAACAGACTGGATCCAGGGACTGAGATAGGTTTTGAAAAGGAAGAGGTTTCTTTTGCCAGAGGTGTCAGGGCCAGATTCAGACTAGGGTGTAGATGGCTGATGACAACTCCCTTACTGAGAGCAGATGCCATAGGACCAGAAGATAAGTGTCCAGGAAGGGAGAGCCCAGTCAGCAATGGGCAGAACCCTAGCTTTCCTCCTATCTGGACCAGTTGGAAGCCTAGGGAAGCTATAGGGGAAGTAGGGTGCTAGCCTGCTGAACTTATTCTCAGCTCTACCCACCTGTGTCACAGAGCAACCTGACTCCATCACTGTTCTTTGAGCTCTTGTATGACCTGGAAGACAATATCTTTTCAGGAGAGATGTTCTATAGCCAAGGTAGGCACATGTGTGGTAGGAATAGGTGCTTCTTCCTGAGCACACCTGCCTAGGGGAGGAAGTGTGTATCTATGATAATGACAACAACATAATTATGATAATGTCCAACACTAGGTACCACACCATGTTCAGCTCTTCATAGGGACAGAGCTGGAAAGGGAATTCTGGGAATGGGAAAAGGCCATGCCAGGGTATGGGGGATCATGTCAGCTGCTGGGGTTAGCAGTTACACTGGGCATCAGGCCCTGTGCTGAACACCTCATCCCCTGTAAGAGAGGTGTTGTTACCTCCCCATGCTACATATGGAGACTTAAGACATAAAGAGAGGGTGATTATACAGCTAGGGTAGGGTCAAAAAAGGAATAGGACAAAAAGTAGAAAGCAGAGTTTGGAGAAGGATCAGTTGGTATGTCAGCATGTGGCACAAGCACAGATGTGCTCAGAAGATGAAACAAAAATGCCTTCGAAGAAGAAAATTGACATGGATGGTTTCTAGCAGGGGAAGGGTCACTGAGGAGGCAGGATGACACACTCACATTTTGAGAGTGACTTGACTCTGACAGGGGATCACTGCCCTTCCCCTGCCCTTCAGGGTGGGATGCAGGACAGGTACAAGGAGCTAGATGAAGAGGCTAGAACTTTCCTACCTCGCTGCCTCCGAGGGTGAAATTCAGCAAGGGTGAAATTCACCTGAAAATCCAAAGCCTTCCCTTTAATACACAGGCCAGAGGCAGCTCCTGTTGGTGCTAAATTTGGAACCAAAAAGCAGGAGGCATTCTGATTATCTGTTCATTTCTAGAAATGCTTGAGCCTGAGGGACTGTTGCCTGGAGAACAAAGTCAAAACAGAATGAAATCAAGAAAGGAATAAAATTTCCTATTCTAAGCATAGCCTTAGTGAGTAAGCAAGTATGTGACTGTTTGGAAAGTGCGTGTCAGAAAATGTGCAGAGGCTCAGAAAACCCTGGGAGGGGACCTGTATCAATTACTCATTTCTCTCCACAAACACTTGAAGAAGGCCCCAAACCTCACTGTCCTCATGCATATACTGTCATTTCACCTGGGCTGTATCTGACTCTAATAGTAACACTTACTTCCTTTGTGAATTGGCTGGATGGAGCATGTGTAGACACAGGTACATACCAGCACACAGTCACACACCTGTGCAAGGTAGCAGCATCTCCTCTTAAAAGGTTTCCTCTTGCTGGGTTTGGTGGCACACGCCTGTAATCCCAACTACCTGGGAGGTTGAGGCAGGAGGATCACAAGTTTGAGGCCATCCTGCATAACATAGAAAGACCCTATCTCAAAAAATAAAAAGGGCTGGGGATGTGGCTCAGTGGTAGGGTGCCCCTGGGATCAATCCTCTATACCACTAAAAAGGAAAAAAAGAAGTTTCCTCTTAGTTCTGGATCCATCTCAACAAACCCTAATGTTGGTAGCAAAAAATACTGATTATCGTCATAAACAGTGGGTAAGAGCCAAGAACCAACAATGACTTTCTTGTTCCCTTGTCATCCAGTGGTCATAAATACATGAAGCAAAGACTGAACCCACCATTTTGACTCAAACCATTTATTTAAAAAATCTATCTTGTTCTTCTTCCTCTTTTCCCTACTCCCCCTTTCCACTCCTATTTCTCCAATTCCTCCTCCTTCCCCACCCGACTTCTCCTCCTTTATGACATGTAGCTAATAAGTGGCAGGACCCTCTGCTGGCCCATCCATTGCTAGGTGTTCAGAGCTACAGTGTGGGATCCTGGTGGGTCTGATAAGGGCTGGAGCTAAGAAAGGTGGGTCAGATAGTACAGGGTCTTCAAAGATGGGTTAAGAACTTAAGAAAGTTCCCTCCAGGCCTAGGGAGCCCCTGAAGAGTTTGATTTGTGGTTTTTTTTTTTTTTTTTTTTTTTTGGAGCCACTTTTCGTGTTCATTGACACTTGGTTGTTCCAGGTACATTAGTTTCACCCTGTGGGAAGTAGTTTGAAGTAGATAAGTCTTTTATAAAAATCTTTTTAAAATATTTACTGAATGCTTACTTATTAAAACTTTACATTATCCTTTTAGCTGGTGTGTAGCACACAACCTGATTTCAGCTACTTGGGAAGCTGACAGGATCACAAGTTTAAGGCCAGCCTCAGGAATTTATCGAGGACCTAAGCAACTCAGGGAGACCCTGTCTCTAAATAAAGTGGCTCAGTGGTTAAGTGCCCTGAGTTCAATCCCTGTCACAGGAAAAGAGGGAGGGAGGGAAGGAAGGAATGGAGGGAGGGAGCGAGTGAGGGAGGAAAACAGGCCACCCTGGGGCTGTAGCTCAGTGATAGAGCACTTGCCTAGCATGTGTGAGGCCCTGGGTTCAATTCCCACTACTCCCCCCCCCCCCCAAAAAAAAAAGGTATATTTTACTATTTACCCAACTTTCCAAGTGAGGAAACAGGTTTACTGAGCCCAGGTCACAGTTAGTCAGGAGTGGACATAGGACACAAACCCAGGTGGTCTGACTCTCCTGATTGACGGTCATAGTTCAGAGCAAGAGTCATTAACCCTGCATAAATGGTCAAGGCAGGTTTCCTGAGATCAGCTGTGGAGGCCACATTGGGTTGGCTCAGTAGGGCTTGTCTCTGCACTGCACTGGGTCCTGAGGTCACTGTCTTGGTTGCAGGTGCCTTGCTGCAGGAGGAAAGGCTAGATGCAGTGACTCTCCTGTATGCAACCTCGCTGCCCAGCTTCTGCCTGCTGGCGGGTGCAGCACTGGTGCTGGAAGCTGGTGTGGCCCCACCACCCGTTCCTACAGATTCCCGCCTCTGGGCCTGTGTCCTGCTCAGCTGCCTCCTGTCTGTGGTCTACAACCTCGCCAGCTTTTCTTTGCTGGCCCTCACCTCCGCTCTCACCGTCCATGTGCTGGGCAACCTCACCGTCGTGGGCAACCTCATCCTATCCCACCTCCTGTTTGGCAGCCACCTCAGCACCCTGAGCTATGTGGGCATTGCGCTTACCCTTTCAGGAATGTTCCTTTACCACAACTGTGAGTTTGTGGCCTCGTGGGCTGCCCGCCGGGGGCTGTGGCAAAGAGAGAAGCCTGGCAAAGGTCTTTGAGATCTGGGGGAACTCATGAACCACACCCAGGACAGCCTCATCCTGAATCAACCTTGGCCAATGGCCATGGGAAAAGTGGAAAGCAGGCAGCCACCAGGCCAAGGGAAGGAGAGGCACCTTCTGGAAGGACTCCGTAAGAGCTGGAATGGTGACTTCCAGAGACATCTACCTCTTGTCCCTGCCTATCTTACCCTGTCACAGACCCCATCCACCGCGGGATGGTGGATCAAAGCCTGGCATAGTCACTGCACCTGTTGGACTAATTTTTATGATTAGTAAAACTGTATCAACTGTTACACTGAAATTTCTGGGCAAACTTTGAAAAATCTCAACGTGTTATGATGACAACGATTCTCAACAATTGCACAATTCTTCCTCCAGTGGGGTAAGCAGTGTGGGGTTCCAAGAAAGTGGAACTACTCTCCACTGCTAGATCCCTCAAGGACTTGGGGTAGTCTATGCCAACTCCAGGCAGCTGCTACAGCCTCATTCTTGGTCCTCCCATTTTTGGGTCTTCCATCCTCAAATAAACTATTTTTGCTTGGATCCTGTGTCATTCCTTGTGGGTACAGCCAAGGGAATAAAGGGAGAGCAGTGGGCCACCGATGCTGAAACTAGGACATTGTCTCTGACCTATCATAGCCTGTTCAAGCCGCCAGCCTAGCCCTGTTTTCTATAATCCCTCCATTAGCCAGGCCACTATTATCCATTTTTTAGACAGTGGCATTGGCCTCCTCCCTGTTCTTCCCTGTCCCCTCTCCCAGGGCCCCTTCACCTGGAAGGAACTTTTCAAAAACACACATGCTCTGTGGCTTCATACTGCTCTAATGATATGGTCAGAACTTCCTACCCCAGACCACACACAGCTCTTGGGATCTGGCTCCTGTGGCTTCATCAGGCTCCTGTCTCACTTCTCTTTCCCTTGGACTCCACCTTCCAGGCTCAGTAACTTCCTTCAGGTTCACACAATGCCAGATACACCCTTGCCAGAGCCTTTGCCCATGCTGTTCCCTCTGTCTGGTACCCTCCTACGCTCCTTCCTTCTTTCTGCTATACCCTTGCCAAGGGGGAAAGGTCCAAACATGCACATCTCCCTTATTTTTTCGGTATTGACCCAGGGGTGTTTGCCACTGAGCTACATCCTCAGTTGTTGTTATAGTTCATTTTTGTACCAGAGATTGAACTCAATGGCTCTTAAGCACTGAGCCACATCCCCAGGCCTTTTTTATTTTTTTATTTTTGAGACAGTGTCTTACTAAGTTGCTTAGGGCCTAGCTAAGTTGTTGAGGCCAGCCTTGAACTTGTGATCCTCCTGCCTCAACCTCCTAAGTCACTGGGATTATAGGCATGCACCACTGTGCCAGCCTACCTTGCCTTTAAAGACCAGAAGCTTGGAGTCATGGCACATGCACAGAGAGGCTGAGACAAGAGGATTACAAGTTTGAGGCTGACCTGGGCAATTTAACAAGACCTGTCTCAAAATAAAAATTAAAAGGGGCTGGAGGTGTAGTTCAGTGGTAGAATACCCTGGTTTAATTGCTAGCAATGCAAAAAAAAGGGGGGGGGAGAGAAACCTAGGGGTTAGGGTTTGGAGGTGGGTGGCTCAGTGATGGAGCACTTGCCAAACTGTTCTGGGTTCTATCCATAGCGCGCACACGCACGCGCGCACACGCACGCGCGCGCTCTCTCTCTCTCTCTCTCACACACACACACAAAAAAAAGCATGGTGGCCTGTGCCTGTAGTGACAGGTTTTACAGGCTTAAATAAGAGGATCACTTGAGCCCAGGAGTCTTGAGATCAACCTGGGCAACATAGCAAGACCCCTTTGTCTCGAAGGGAGAGAGAGAAGCCCCAAAAGGAAGACTGCTAGGAGAGGGTCTTAACAATGGTCCATGCCACAGGGCTGCGGGTGAACAGGGTAAAGCACTGGAGTGTCCCCATAGAGGAAGTGGGAGCACTCAGCAGGGAGCACTCAAGGTTAGCCCAGGGCCTTGAAAGGAGCAGAGCTCCCATGCAGAGAAACTAGGGCAGGAGTTTCTATCCCTAGAGCTAGCCTGGAGTCCTGTGACCAGCTGTCCCCCACCCTCAACCTTGTCACATCACCTCTCTGTCTTTCCTTGGTGCTTCCTTATACCCAGCTACCTCCCCTCAGGGATCACCTGTTAAAAATGACAAGGATCCAGCCTACAGCTGGCAGTCCAGGGGCCGAATCCTGCTCTGCCCACCTCACTATGAATGTTGGGTAGGTACCCTCCCTTCTCTGTGGCTCAGTTCCATATCTGTAAAATGGGGCTGATGATTCCAATGAGGAGGATTTTAATGAGTTGCCACTGGGCAGCATCAGGGATGAGAAAGAAATTGATGGTGCCAGCTGTCTCTATCCCTATCTTGGGTAGTCACCTCCCCATTTCTAAGGTTCCCGACCCATCTGGAAAATGTCTCTTCTTGGTTGAGGATGGGGAGCTAAAACAGGCTGCAGCTGGGATCTAGGAGGACTGAGGTTCAGGGAGGAATCACTCATTTCTTTATGTAAACAGAATTTCTAAAGGACCACAGACTGTGCCAGTTAGTGCTAGGTGGGGCTGTGTGAAGGGTCARTCTAAGGCTGGGTAGTGGCCAGGTGGTGAGGGACTAGGAATAGAGGCACAGGGGTTCCTGGCCCCTGACTCCACCCAGGGTGGCTTTGCAGGAGGGGAAATGGACCTAGTTGAGTCACTCGCCACCCACCCTCCCTGTGACTCAGAGATGCCACTGGCCCAGCCCAATCCTCATGTAGCTTGGGCACTTCTGAACTCCACTCTCAGGCTTGGCCAGGCAGAACAAAGGAGGATGGCTTTGGTTAGGCTGAGCCTCCTCAGAGACTCAGGACCCTTCCACACTTGAGGTCCCATTGCCATAGCAGGAACATCCCTGCACCACCCTCACTCAGGGTCCTGGGCTTGGTGGGATGCTTGGCTAGTAAGTGAGCTCCCCGTCACATCAAATCCTGATGGTTATGGGGAGTAATTAGATATGAGCTTGACTTGGAAACTAGTTCATCATCAGATTCAGGACCATCAGGTATCTAAGTTTCGCCCCAACAAGGCCACAGCCAGTGCCTTCCCATCACTCCTTCCAAGCAGTGGGCACAGAGACTGGACTGAGTCAGAAAGCCTGGGTTTCAGTTCAGGCCTTTGCTACTCATGGCATGATTTCAGACCGGCCTCTTCTGGCCTCATAGTGTTGTTGGGAGTTATCACAGGGAGACCAATGGGGAGAGTCCCAGTGAAGGTCATTGTACTTTAAGGCTTTGTCTTTCACTAGTTTCTGTTGCCTCTGGCAAGTGGCTTTACCTCTCTGAGTCTCCATCTTTGCATCTAGTCCCTGCTAGGAAGCTTTCTCAGGATAAGAGATGTCACTGCCCTGAATCTCTTCTCTCCTTGAACCCCTGACCTATACCATGCCAAATTGAGTTTTAAGCTCCAGCTCAATGGCACCCCAACTCCTTACACCACTCCAGGTAGGGACCCAATTATATCCCATCCTCTGAGCTAGATCAATTTCTCTCTTCTTCACCAGATCAGGTTTCAAGGTGACCTGCTGCTCTCTCCCCAGCCATCAGCTCAGGGTATGGCAGGGACTGGGTGGTGGAATCCTCCCTTATCCAAGGGAGATGTGTTTCAAGACCCCCCATGGGTGACTAAAACTGCAGATGGTAACTTAATCATATGTAGCCATATTTTTTCTATACATACATAAATTAAGTACCTTTTCTATCTTAACTAAGCACGCAATCACACACTGCAGCTGTAACTTTTGCAATTTGAAAAACTTGCATTTTTTCCCTTCACAATTTTAGATAGAAGTTTCATTCTTACAATAGATCTTAGTAATCTCAGTATATGATTTTTTTTCTTTCCTCATTGAGAACATTCTTTTCACTTAAAGAAAACACTTTACACATTACCTCTGTCACATCCAAATTGCCAGCATCACTATTCTTGTGCTCTGGAGGTATCCATTAAGTAAAATAAGGGTTATTTGAATACAAGCATTGTGACACCCCAGTCGATCTGATAACCATGATTAAGAAAACACCTACTAAGTGGATAACAAGTCAATAGCATATACTGAGAGGAAACATTGGGCAAAGGGATGATTTACATCTAGGAAAGTAGAAGTTGGACAATGTGAGATTTCATTGTGCTACTCAGAACAGAATACAATTTAAAACTTACAAACTGTTTATTTCTGGAATTTTCCATTTAATATTTTCAGACTGCTCTCTTTACAGTGAATAACAGAAATAATAGAAAGTAAAATTGTAGATAAGAGATGGGGGCTACTGTACTAGTAAAAGTTCTGAAGTCAGACTTGGGTTCAAATCCTGGAGCTGGGAATGTGGAACTATGTGACAGGCAAGCACCTTCCCTTCTTGTGTCTCTGTGTGAAGTGGCAATAGCAGTAAAACCTAACCCAAATCAGCTTCAGAAAGGGCTTAGCAATAATGCCTAAAACATAACAGGTCCTCAATTAAACTCACTCAAGGCAGATGCTTACCAGTTCCTCCAAAAAGCTCCTTGGGCCATCTCTCCTACCTCTTTGCCTTTCATTGCATATTGAGAGCCCCAAGAGCATGCTCCTGCCTGGGCAGAGTGGTGTGGATGTCCCAGCCTCCCCCCTGGCCCCGCCTTGGAGGAAGCCAGGGAAGCTGAGGCCTTTCTGGGCATCCTGCCATCGTGAACTTGGGAACAAAGCCTTGTCTCAGTCCCAGCTGCCAGGGTGCCCTTCCTGCCCTCCCCTGGTGGCCCTTGGATTGTCATTCTAGGAGGCTAGGGCAAATGAGGACTCTTCTTACTCCCTTATTTGCCCCCCCCCCCAATAATCCGAGGGATCCCAGAAATTCTACCATCTCACTGTTTCTGCTCAGTTGCAAATGCTTTCTGGAAATAATACAAAATACTTAACTGAGGGCCACTTCACAGGGAGCCATGGTCCTCAGTATATATTTCTTGAAAAAGAAAAAAAGAATCTTCAATTTCCTCTGGACCCTATGTGGAGGAAAAATTAGGGGCTTGAGCCAAGGGTCAGGGAGACTAGGGAAGACCTGTTGTGGTGGTCCAGGTGAGCGGATGATAACAGAGGCAGCACTGGGGACAGAGCAGCTATAAATTGTATTGATTTAGGATAATAATTTTTTAAAACATTAAAGGAGGCCATTATTTTGGACTAAGATTCTGCAGTAGGGCCTAATATACCAGTCTAAACATTAAAATGGAGTCACCTATGCTCACATTCTGCATCACTAAACTGAAACTGGTTGTTATCTGACCTTAATCAGAAATCAGGAGATAAGGAAAAACAACCAAAATTCCCCAACAGGCTGGTTTCAACTGGCATGACAATGAAGTTCCTGAGCTTTAATCTTTTAATTCTACAGAAAGTAACCTAAAGTAATCTGATATTAACCAGTTATTCTTCTAGTGTTCTGTTCTCCCTGCCTACATCTTACAAAGAAAGTGACTTTGACATGATTAATCAGCTATTTTCTTTTTTGGTACCATGGATTGAACTCAGGGGCACTCAACCACTGAGCCTCATCCCTAGCCCTTTTTTTTTTTTTTTTTTTTTTTTTTTTAAATTTAGAGACAGGGTCTCACTGAGTTGCTTAGAGCCTCAGTAAATTATCGAGGCTGGCTTTGAACTTGCCATCCTCCTGCCTCAGTCTCCCGAGCTGCTGGGATTACAGGTGTGCACCACCGTGCCCAGCTACCAATCAGCTTTTTGTTCTTTGTTTCTGCTTATTTAGTCTTTCTCTGTTCATAAGACTTTCTGCTCCATCCATAAGAACACTTATTTTACTTTTTGATTGTTTGTTTTGCTGAATACTGAGGATATCCTATCACTGAGTTACAGACCCAACTCCCTTTTTTTTTTCATTTTTTGAGACAGAGTCTCACCAAGTTGCCCTGGCTGAGCTTGAACTTGTATCCTGCTTCAGCCTCCTGAACACTGAATGAAGGGTAGACTTTTCTAGAATCAAACAACCAATTAAGATTTTAAAATCAAAATTATTCCCAAGAATAGTGGCTTAAGGCAACAAAATATGTATTATCTCCCAGTTTCAGAAGGTCAGGAATTTGGGAGTGGCTTAGTGAGGTGGATTTTGGCTCAGAGTATTTCGTGAAGTTATAGTCAAAATGTTGGCCAAGGGGCTGGGGATGTGGCTCAAGCGGTAGCGCGCTCGTCTGGCATGCGTGCGGCCCGGGTTCGATCCTCAGCACCACATACCAACAAAGATGTTGTGTCCACCGAGAACTAAAAAATAAAACATTAAAAATTCTCTCTCTCTCTCTCTCCCCTCTCTCACTCTCTCTTTAAAAAAAAAAAAAAAATGTTGGCCAAAGTTGCAGTCTTCCAAAGGTTTGACAAAGGCTGAGGTTCTGCTTTCAAGATGGGTCATTCACATGGCTGTTAACTGGAGGCCTCAGTTCCTCGCCTTGTGGGCCTCTCTCTATGGCTCTTGGCATGGTAGCTATCTTCCACCAGAGTGATTCAAGAGAGCAAGGAGCTACAGTGTCCTTTTTAATTCAATCACAATGGTCACACTTTGTCCTCATTAGATTCCCTAATATCTTATTGCACAGGTCAAACCTGTTTAATACAGGAGGCCCACAGTTGACTCATGCAAAGGCATGAACACCAGGAGGATGGGATCACTGCAGCCATCTGAGGTTGGCAAGTTTGTGACTGAGAATGTGAGGACATAACTTGGGGCTATAAGGTCCTTGCTTAGCATCTGGATGGCCATATTAAGTGACAGCCCTATTTTAGGTAAAGAGTTTCACTTTCCTGCCAAGGGCCCTTTCTGAGAAAGCCTCACCACTCCCTCTTACCAACCCAATTCTTAACCATTGCATTAGGACCAGCCTGGCTGATTCCTGAACCTGCCCTATAAAAATCTCAGAACCCAAGCCTGTTTTGCCTCTCTTTCCTATAGAGAGATGGCCTTTATTTCTCAGCTCTGACAAGTAAACTCTCATATGTATCTGCCTAGTCTCCGTCTCTCATTTCTTGCTTACCAGTCTCTCGTTCCTTACTTTCCCTTCAGGGGCCACAAGGGAATTAGTCTGGAAGCTTTCTGCTTGGGGTAGGATCTTGTCAGCCCCACTACTGTATGCCCCCTGACAAAGTACTGTACAATCTGATCCACAGCAAGCACTTAGCAAATGTTTGCTTTGTGAGAACTGCCTTCTGTCCTACAGACAGGACAAGTTATAGAATCCCCAGCTTGGTACTTGAAGCCCTGAATGTTCTGGTATTGCTAAGCCCATTCCATTGCCCCACCCCTGTTCCCTATGTCTATTATATACTGGAGCCTTCTTTTTTTTTTTTTTTTTGGCGGGGAAGGAGGGCATACTGGAGATTGAACTCAGGGTACTTGACCTCTGAGCCACATCCCCAGCCCTATTTTGTATTTTATTTAGAGGCAAGGTCTCACTGAGTTAGTTGCTTCTTGCCTTGCTTTACTGAGGTTGGCTTTGAACTTGCAATCCTCCTGCCTCAGCCTCCCCAGCCACTGGGATTACAGATGTGTGCCACTACGCCCAGCTTGCTAGAGACTTCTAATAATGAGGCTTCCCTTTGTCAGAGGACAGGAGTCTGAGAAGGTCCCTCTGTAACAGTGATTCACTTCATGCTTTTTTTTTTCTTTTTTGCCGCTGTGACTTATTTTTAAAATGGACATATTTCTTTCTCTTCCTCTACCTCTTCTTCTCAATAATCTCAGGGRAAACAGGATTACCTTTCTTCCCCCATCCTAGGAGTTATCTGTCCTTTAGCACATAACACAGGAATGAAGTAATTCAGATTTAGGGATGGCACCAAAAGATCTAAGACATGACAACCTCCCAAATTAGCAAGTGAATTACCATTCTAGATAGAGAACACTAGAATGTAGCCTTTGAATCACCCCTTTAAAAACCTACTTCCCCATGATGAGCAATCACAGCTCTGGACTTGAGTCCCCTGTTTCTCTTGCGGGCAAAGCCATAAAACTTCTTTTTCCTTTTTCTCAAAACTGTGTCCTCATTATGGGATTGGCATTGGGGACAAGGACCGAGCTTTCAAAATACCTCCAAGTGGGCAGTAGGACCTCAACTTGGCCTCAGGAAGGAACCTGATTTAGGCCACTGAAAAGAATTTCAGGATGCATCCAAAGAAAGGCACAAGATTTTAAAAAGTGATTACAAAGGTGCTACTATCCTTATAGTTCACAAGTCTGAGGCAGGAAGATCTCAAGTTCAAAACCAGCTTCAGTAACTAAGCAACTTAGCAAGACCCTGTCTCAAAATAAACAAACCAACCAACCAAAGGGGGCTGAGGATGTGGCTCAGTGGTTAAGTACCCCAGGGTTCAATCCCTAGTTGAAAAAAAAAAAAAAAGGGGGTGGGGGAACAACAAAGGTGTACATCCCTGAAAGGCAAGGTGCAGACACCCTTCACCTCTTTTTAAAAGACTTGTGATGTATTCAGGATTGAGCTCTCTGATTATATATAGGATTTTCCTGGGAAGAAATATGTAGTTTCCCACGCAAGCTTTTTAAAAATCAAATCCCATGTCAATCATTTGATATTTGGGTTTCAGAATGTTTCTTTTTGGTTAAGCAGTCTAGCCATAAATCAGTTGTGGGCACATTATGTAGTTTTTAAGATCTGCTGATATTTAAATTAATTGGTTTTATTCTAATTTATCTGGTACAAGCATACACTGGAGGTTTTGTTCATCTAACTAAAGAGACAAGCATGGCTAGTCATTCTCACAAATCATAGCAATTCTAAACAAAGCCTTCTGGGGGAAGTCAGAATTGTACCCCTTGCTCCAGGACCCCTAGGTCACACCTAGATTAAACAGATGAAAACTTTGAAAAGGCTTAAAAGACTATGCCTCTTCTGAGGTAGGATTTAAACCCCTTTTTCTCCCCTATATGGAGTGACTTTCTGGAAAAGCACTTTGAAAACAGTACAGGACTATGCACAGATGAGAGGAAATACCTTGACTTGGGACCAGCAGGGCCAAAGAGTGAGTATATCATCCATAGTGAGAGATGTCCATTATGCTAAGCATGGACCATGACTGGCCTGGCACTATAGAATTGCTGAATCTTCACAGATGAGGACACTGAGGCTCTAAGTCACATTGAGGGTAGGTGACAGGGCTAAGTTCAGGTTTGCAGGTACAGCCTTTCAAGCTAGAAAACTCTGGAGACCTGACATGTCCTAGAGAATGGACTATGCCCCCTTTATCTAAGACTGATAGGGGATTTAAGATCTAGTCACATACAACAGCACTCAAGAAAAAAAATTTTAAAAA